CAACCAACTAATCAACCAATCATCCAACCAACAGACCAACCAACCAATCAACCAACCAATCAACCACCCAGCCGTCCAACCAACCAACCAACCAATCAACTACCCTACCATCCAACCAGCCAACCAATCAATCAATCAACCAACCATCCAACCAACCAATGGATCAATTAATCATTCAATTTCACTCCAGCTTCAGTCATCCACGGCTCGGTAAACGACGACGATGATGACAACCACAGCAGCAACAACCGCAACGACAAAGTCAACCCATTGCTGAGGTTTAAAAGTAACAACAACAGCAAGAATTCATCTGAGGACGTTTTCCTTGGATTCACATATGATGGCTCATACGGAGCCACGCCTATAAGACAAGCATAAATTTTTCTTTTTATATTTATTATTTATTTATTCTATATATATTTTTCATCATTCATTCATTCAATTGATAATTAATTAATAAATTTATTCATTTGTTTGTTCATCCAGTTGTTTGTTCATTCGCTCATTTTTTATTTTGTTCATTCGATCGTTAGTTTAATTATTCATTCATTCGTTCATTCATTCATTCACATGTGTACGATGTGTGTGTATATATATGTTCATGTATAAGAATTGTATAATTTGTATATTTGTGAATAATGTAAACATTTCTCTAATTTATTTTCTTATTAAATTTTCTACCATAATTCAACTCAATCAAATATCTAATAATTCAAACGGCAACTAACTTGGTAATGAGTTAGCCAAGAATCAATTAACTGATTAACCAATCAATCAATCATTCATTCATTCATTCATTCATACATTCATTCATTCATTCAACCGACTTATTTTTTAATATCACTTATTTGGTCTACAAATATAGATATATTTTTAAAAAAGACATTTTAGAGCTTCAAATATTGTTATCATAATTTCAGTTAAAACGAAAAAAAAAAAAATTTATGAGAAAAAGTTTAAATGTTTTGTCTTCTTAATTTCTTTTGTTCGCACGTGACTTCAATTGTGTCATAATTATGACAAATTTTTATTATTTTATTATTATGATTATTATTTATTATTATTATTGAGACCACTACCTCTGCAAAAACTTCAAATTCCATGGCGATTCATTGCAACTCAGCTGGAATTTGATATTCAAAATTATAACCTCTCATAAAAACTCGGGTCTCGACAAACCTTGACGGCTTAATTGTGAGAAGCCTCAGACAACGGCTGACCACGCGAATCAGTGGCTGTGTGACCCAAGTGCTCTCCCTGCCAATCAGGTTCTGCGGTCACAACATCATCTCATTGAAGGACTCGTTGGAAAGACAAAATTCAAAATCAGACATTATTTAAAATCAAGCAGCATTGATAAAATGAAACTGCCTGCTTGTAGCGGGAAACGTAAATTAATTTTGAAAAAGTTTGATAGTATGCTGGCGGGGTCAGGTTCGGTGAAACAGTCACTCAAATTGATTGCTAGAGGAGACAAAAACATCACGTGAATGCAAATTCCAGAAATATAAAATTTGAAGTTAAACTTAAATTCAGTTCATAATAACTGCTCGTTTATTAATAATTTATTTGAAATATCGCTTGTTGGTTTCTATAACAATTTTAATTTAACTTTGTTTAAAATATTATGGCCGAAATCTTCTGATGAAAAACTGATTAACGCGATAATTCGCTCGTCATACAGCATATATTGCGACAGAAACACTAGGTACTTAACCGATTTTAAATATATTTTTTCACTCTCAAGCACTTGTTGATCAAAGAGCATGAGGGGATCGTACATTATATATTTCACATCTTATTTATTTACACTCTGATGTGTAATTAAGTCGAAAAATATGAATGAAGAGTTGAAATAAAAATTTAGAAAGTTTTTTTTCTCTTGATAAATCATTCGTTCGTTCGTTCGTTTTTTTGTTCGTTCGTTCGTTCTTTCGTTCGTTCGTTTATTCATCCATTCATTCATTTGTTTGTCTGTTTTTCAATTAGTTCATCGTTCATTTGTTCATTCATTCACTCACTCACTCATTCATTCATATTTAATTTTTCATTCATTCATTCATTCAATTCATTTATTCATTCAATTCATTCATTCATTCAATTCATTTCATTTCACCATTATCATGGAACTAAATTGAACAGCAAAGTTTAGAACGCGTTCTTCGTTTATAAACATAACTCCGTCATTGTTTATTTGTCAATTAATTAATTCTTTATTTTTTTATTTATTTTTATTCTTAATTAATTATTTTCATT